AATAAATGTTTGTTGAATCAAATTCAGGGCCACAACTTCTGGGGAGTTGAATGACCAAACAGGAAATCTGAGTGCATATACAGGAATTATTTCTCGATGCTCTCTAGCTGATCTGCATGGCCTAGACGCAAGGGAGGGAAGAAGACTGGGCCATATTGGGATGGGGTTATTGCCATAGTCATTTAATTTAACACCATCTTGAGCACTATTTCTTGTTTAGCTGCAAGTACAGATACGATTAGTCCGTTCAAAGTTAAGCTCATGGCAGCAGGGGTGTCAGAAGTGAGGACATTTAAAACTGCTCTCATCAAAATTAATTTTTCATAATCATTACTTAATTTATACATATATTAAATCATCACATAATACATCTTGAATATATACAGTTTTTATCAAATATTTTAAAATAAAAAGTTAAGGTCAAAAGCATTATAAATTTCTCCATATCATAGATGGAGAAAAAGGAACTGAAGTGATTTCACTAGTCTTCTTCCCACGTCCACATACGGCCTTCACCATGAGCATCATTATGCATCCACCACTGGGGACTTAGACAGGAAATGGCAGCAAGAGAGGCAGCCCAGGCGAATGTGCCAGGAGTCCACATCCTTCCTGAAGCCATGGAGTAGAATTAAAGCCTACCTAAGCAAACAGTCAAGCTGTCTTCTTACATCTTCCCACCCTCTACCTTTTCTCCAGTGGGATCTCTTCTTAAATGTACAGAGGTATCATTAAAAGAATTTGCTTTGTGGAGCCGAGGAGTATTATTATCGAAAACTAAAGATGTTCCAGAATGAGCAAGAATCATAGCCAAGAGCGATGCATTGAAATTCATCAAGAAATCTTGCTACTTTTTGGCATATTTGTTTTAAATGTCACTATTTGAAATGTATTACAACAATCAGCAACTTGGTGTGAAGCTCGAAGAATATAGAGACATCTGTAATGCTTTGGAAATGTTACAAAACAAGTGAAAGAAAACATTTTAAGGAGGAATTCTCAAATATTCACAGTGTTCAGGTTTTTAATGGAGCTATTGATAACCTTGTTGTCTAACAGAATTCTGACTATAGAATGCATTAAACTTCTTGGCTGTAGCCAAATGGGTGACAGCCAGAGATGGCATACACAGTGTACTTGATAAAATGCTGTTTATTTAAGATATTAGAGTGGCCATTATGTTCAAGTACAAAGTTTCAATCCTCTCAATAAACTTAATCTAGGAAGAATAAGATGTTTTAGAATGTTTTTAAATTTCACTAGGACACAGCGTACTCTCAGAGTTGTTACTTAACATGGCGTCAGATGTAAAAACTGGTTTTGATAGATTCGCACATAAACAGAAATAAGTTTAGAGGTTCTTTCTGTGATTCTTTTCCATTATTGCATACTTGTGGCTAAGGATATTGGCTTGGGTGTGTGTGTGTGTGTGTGTGTTTTAGAAATTTTTATTCAGGAAATTGAAAATAAAATAGAGTTCAAGTCATTGTATTATTGCTGTTTGTATGACATCACAGGTAAGATTTTCATCCCATCTCGGATACCTTCTTCTACCTCTCCAAGACTCTGGAAATGGGGATCATTGTTCTCTAGCTTGTAATATAGTTGTGAGAATTCAGTAAATAATGTTCTAAAAGTATGTAATAAAAATAAGTCCCTAATCAGTGTTAAATAAATTTTGTTCCCTTTCTCTTTCCTTATGAAAAACATGTTATACATATATATATTAAAATAATATAATCCAGTAGATAAAGGCCAACATTTATAAGAAGCATAGGTTCTCTCAGCTAGAAAGAATCTTAGGGATGATCTGTTTCAGTGATTCTTAGCATTTGTTTGGTTTATGGACAACTTTGAGAATCTGATGAAAGTTATGGTCCTCCTCTCTCCCCCAAAATAAGCCACTACATACAAAAATTATCTTACAATTTTAAGAGGTTCAAGAACGCTCTGCAACATATCCCTAACCCCCTGGGTTAAGAATTCCCAACTTAATTCAATACTCTTCATCTAAAAATGGAGAAATTAAGGAAGATAAGTTATATGCTCTTGAGAATTAAAAGTTATTTTGAAGACTATTTTCTGAAGGAGACTTTGATAACTTAAGAACAAAGTATTCATCAGTTATTTCAGCAGTTTTCTCATTGTTCTCATCGTATACCTGCGTTTTATCTGAGACTTGCTCTCTTGTTCATCCTTGATGTATTAGCGACAGAAGAGCTATTTGCAATCTCACACAAAGTTAAATAATCTGAGCATCGATTGAATTTTTAACATGCTTATGCTTTTCCCCCATAATTTAGCTGCTGCATTCTCAGTAAACATTCATTAAATTCCTGCCCTGGTTCAAAGCCTGCACAAGATAACTGTAGGTCTGAGAACAAGTTTCTGACTCGATCTAGGCACAGTTAAGTATCAGGCTCGTGAGCCTGTAATGAGGGGAATTTAGAGACAGGACCACCTCTTTCAGCCCCAGAACTCTGAGAGGGTGCCACAATAAGGCAGCATTAAAGTTGAGCCTGGAGTAATGAGTAGGAGTTTGCCAGGCAGAAGATCCAGAGATCCTAACTCCATGTGTGTGTGCAGACTTTACATTGCATGATCTTTCTAGTTTGAAATATTTAACTTTAAATTATGCTTATGTATTAATTAATGCTAAAATGTGTGGGATGGCCACTGAAGACTGTTTCCCTAGTTTCATCAACCGTATATCATCATTCTCTGAGCCATGTAGTCTCCAAACCTCAGGCTCATACTCATCTCTGGCTGCAGTTTCTAGCCACTCACAGTGACTTGCAGATTCTTCCTTTACAGTGTGTTGCATCTTCTCTTTGTTTTCTGTTGCCACTGTCATCTTCCCATAGTTCACCATGCCACTGGACCAGACCCTCAGGATCCATGTCTCCTAAAATAATTTATTCTGAGGCCCTGCTAAGAAACGTTTGCCCCAAGTTATCTATAAAACACAGCATATCTTACGTAAAGCCTGCCACAATTACCCAACCTTCCCCAGCACATTCTTACTCCAGCCAGGCGAGTACGAGACGTCAATGTTAAGAGCCCACATGTAGTTCACCTTCACTGCTTTTTAGGTGTTGCATTTCATCTCTCAGGTGTGTCCTTATATATGAGTCATATGAATAATAAAAAAGCTGTTAGGAAAATTAGTGTGATAACGCATGGGAAGTGCCCAGTGTTGTGCCTGACACAAAATTTGCTCTCAAGAAACAAATATTTGTACCCATCGTCATCGTTATCTTCCTCCAAAATACACCTTGTCTGTTTGATAACAATTCTTCTTTTCTAAAAACCCTTCCTCTTCTTACCCAGGTCATTTATTACTCCTTCGGGACTATGCCTCAGGCTTGCCTTCACCCAGGTGTCTCCCCTAAACCCACACACTTTTAGCAGTCTCTACTCACCTCTCCCGTATCACCACTGTGTTTGCTTGACATTGTTTCCAAGTCTTCCTCTACCTGACTACACTATAACGGCTAGAGCTGCCCCAGATTGGAATAGGCTGTCATGTAAAGCCATGAGCATCTTGTTTGAAGATGTTCGTGAAACAGATGGAAGATTTGATCGTTGACGTCTGAGGATCCTTTCAGTAGTGATTTTGGGATTCTGAGTTGTTTGAGATCAGGAGTATGTCCAGCACTTCCTCCTACTTCCCGCAACTGAGAACACAACCATTTGGTAGACACACTATTTTGTAGGCATGCTCAACTATTTGTTGTTTGACAGGCTGATTTTTCTAAAGAATCACTGTACTCTTTGATGCCTGTCACAGACGAGCAATGGCTTTCCATCCTGCAGAGGTATTTAGTAGGAGGTGTACAAAGCTTATAGGTTGGCGGATGTGAACCCCGCATGCATCACACTGTGTCTGACCTATAGTGAGCATATGATGTTCAATGAACAAACATTAATTATAATTAGTGTTTCAGTACATCATTGTGCATCCCTTGGGAACACACTAGAACAGAGCAAATGGAAGGGTCTCTTTCAAAGTTAAGGCTGAGGTTTTAGGAAGAAGTATGTTGAAGGAAAAGATCTGTTGCAGGGGAAAAATGGTCCTTTATGTTCCATGGAAGCAGCTCTTACTGAAATTTGATTTTTCTTCCCCACAACCTCCTCACTGGGGCAAAGAAAGTGCATAAATCTAAGACAGCATTTACTTTTAATGTCCTTATTGGAAACTCTGTTCTTCAGATTGTGTTGAAACGGTTTCATTACACAGTGCACCTCTAATCTCTGCCAGTTTGTTGTATCTTAGAAATTAACTGCTTGTCTATTGCTGAATTTCGGGTAGCTACACTTAATCTTATTGTGGCCTCTCCTTTTTATACCAGTTTGGCTTAATGCTAAAAGAATCTTCAGCTTCAAAGAACTCTTCCTGTCCTCCCCACCCCTCCCCAACTCAGTTGGAAGGAGGGGTAGGATGGTGGCAGGGAAGAAGGAGAGGAAATCAGTTAATTGCAGGCTGTCAGAGTTGTTTTAGGTGACTTTTTACTTCTTGAGTTTAAGATGAACATGAACTGTAGACATTTCAGGCTGGGAATTTAAATAGCAACAAAAAAGCATGGGTTTTGCTAATGCCAAGAATGACTCATCTGGTGAAAATGGTATTGTATTGATAATACAATACAGAGAGAAAGAAAAGACTGTGGTATCTGCTTTCTTTGTGTGGCTGACCTTGAGGAGAATTATAACTTGTTTGTTGCAGAAGTTGAGCATCAAATGTGCTGATGCACCTGTTCTTATGTATTAAATGGCAAAGCACTTGCAGTTCCCTGTGATTGCTTTGTGGGTGAAATATTTTCTGCAATCTGGTGAAATGACTTTTTTTTTTCTGAATAATGTATTCATTTGTATTTCTTTCATCTCTTATTTCTCAAAAATATGCTTTCTCATTTCAACACCCTGGTCTCATCATTATATCCTCGAATATGTTTGGCTTTTTATTTTCAAGGTAACATTTTGATTTCTTTTTAATATAGAGACCATGAACCAAGCAACTCCTGCTAGAAAGCTGGAAGAGGTTCTTCATCTAGCAGAGCTCTGCATAGAAGTCTTACAGCAGAATGAAGAGCATCACTCAGAGGTGGTGACTTGTTTTAACTATAGTCTAAAGCTATACATAATGCTTTGCCATGGTGGGGACAACACTGGCCTGATGATACTCTTGATATGTCTGAAAAATGAGAACATAGGTGAATTTGCTAGAAATATTACTCCTTATATGTTATAAAGCAATTATGTGTGTATGTAATTTCATGTTTGTTGTCAGGAATATGGGGGAGCTTATGGGATCTGTCCAGGGAAGCATAACTAGAAGAAGCCAAGGTGGAACACAAGCCCATCTTGTAATGCCTAATAACCTTCGTTTCCCCTATGCCATGATTGCTTTAGCTTTAAAATATAAGTTAATCAACATGGAAAAGGAAAACTTGTGATAAACTATAAAATAAAAGGTAATTGAAGACATTCATAATGTATGATTGATAACTCTAGTTTTTTCTACTCTTAACATCAAAGTATTCTTTAAATTTTCACTAAACCAGCATTGCTTATAATTTTAAAAAGTTCTAATTACATATTAACATTCACTAAAGATCTGGGTTGCCTTTTTACCAGACAGACTGCTTATTCTAAGGCTTAAAATTCTCACTCTAATAGTCATGAGTTTGTTTACAAAAGCAAAAAAGTTTTCTGACTTTGAGTTGAGTGGGGGAAATGTGTAGAATTTAATAAATATAAATGTCAATGCCCTAAAAGTGCTTTTACTCTTTACTCTTGAGGAAGCACATAAAATGAGCAAGAATACAAAAGACCAGATACATACGAGTTTATAGAATATTCGTATTTAATGAAGCCTAGTTTTCAAAAATATAAGAAACTATAGGAACTACATTTTAAGCCAATTATTAGAAAAGAGTATCATGAAACTTTACTATAGGTAACTAAGATTTATTATCTCTGGTTATAAATATGATCATTCAAAACATCTGCTTTTAGCTCACACTGTGGAATCTAGGTTTTAGCTTGCATCTGTCATGTGTGAACTTGTTATGGATATTTTATTTTAAACTGAAGAAACAGCTGCTTCAGTAATTTGAAATGAATTCCCAGGAGGTTCTTTTCTAGGCTAGTACCACTGCTATGTTACAAAGAAAATGATTATATGATAAAATATATGTATGTTTTGTCTTTGTCTTTTGTTAAAAGGCATTAGCATCAGAGTATGAGGCTTTTTTGAATTAAAAAAAAATCTGATTGGTTATACAATTGCAGTATATATTTCAGCTAAACAGGTACATCTGATATTCCTCTACATTTTACAAAAACTGAAAATGAAATGTCATTTAATGCAATTAAATGTTATTTTGTGCAATCACTAAAATGCTTATTAAAGTATACTGCATCCAAACAATTAAAATATAAATATTACTCATTTTCAAACCCACAAAAATACAGTTGACTTTATTAAATAGAGATAATCATAATGAATTAATATCATTCTGCTATATGCTGAAATACAGAACTATTATGATGACCTTTGTAAAATGCTTTGTAACGCTATGGCATTTTTCTATTCCGCAATGCTTCCAAATTCTTGGAAACCCTCAGGGAAGAGAGGTGAGTAAAATTGTTTCCACTATTTTTCTAGCATGAGATAACTCTTTTATGTGAATTTAAGATAGAACCCACTCTCTTTATAGTTAATTTTAAAGCCAGCTTAGCTCTCTCTTTGGTATCAAGGACAGTTGATTTCCCTTTGAATGTGCTAATCTTGTTATACTGTTCAGCTGAATGTGTCTTGTTAATAATTGCTTGCGTAATTACTGATGGCAATCTAAGTAAAATATTACTGAAGAGATTTTGACATTTTGGTTTTGATATTTTGGTTTTGGTTTGTGTCTTGATTTTGTCCTTTTTTTTTTTTTTTAAACCAAAAGATCTAACTTTTTCTCTGAATAAGATTGGAGAGTGAATTGTTCTGACTCCAGTGTCATTTCCAGAGTAAATTGGTAGGCTGCACTCTACGCTGATATTTATTTTGCTGGATGTTCAAGCTAGAGTTCCTTTACTCCCTGAAAGTGTACCTAGCTCAGGTCCCTTGGCGGGGGTTAGTGTGTCTGCCTCAAAGAGACCTTCAAGTGGCTCGTGTGTCAGCTCCTTTTATTTTCATTCTACCTCTCTCCACAGTAGCAGTTTATAGGGCTAAGAGGTTTCTGTCCATCAGCAATTTCTCAGTTAAGCAGGTTTCATGATCTTCAGATCTTTGACAGTAACTTGCTTAGAAGGCCGTCTTCCCTTCTCTCTGAAGGCCACTCGACCTCTCCTCTCAGGCTTTTCTGCAGAATTCCTATGTTTTCTCCTTAGAAAGATAGTTTAAGCTGCTATCCAGAAAAGCTTTAAGGCTTTGTCCACATTTCGGTGACTAGACCGTATCTAACCAGAAATTTTAGGCAAACTGATCTAAAAACTCTCCATCCGGAAGCCTCTTGCTTTGACAAAGCTGTGAAGTCTTTGACAAAGCCGGGCCAGGAAATCCATAGGCTCTCACCAGCACACCCCCTCCGTACATACCATTTTATTGACAAGAAACAGACCCAGAAAAGCAACTTGCCAGAGGTACACAGCTAGCTAGTGATTGGGTGAATACTCTGGCCAGATTCCAGATCTGGACATTTTCTAGTAAACCTCACTGTTGCTTTCCTGTTGAAGTAGAATGGCTAGAGTGGTTATCCTGCCCTGGCTCTGCTGATGGGGTTGACCTGCAGCATCACAGCAGGGATGTAAATGCATGGGGAATATTCACGATGCAAGCCTGGAGATGTCTCTTTCCATTCTATCATTCTCTTCCTTTCCTTGTAACTCTGGCATATCCCAGGATTCAGCCTAAGAGGGATGGAGTGCTGAGAATTTCAATAGAGGGTCTGATGGAGGGAATATGAACAGTATGAGCACAGATCAAGTTGTTGCTTTGTTATTATTACAGCAAAGTATTGATGTAAAGTCCCTAAAATATTTTAAATATAATTAATATCATCCACCATATCTGTAACACTACAGGCAAGAAGGGTATCTGGCAGTAATTTTGTATTTGCAATATAGACAGCTCTTGGTCCACTGCATGTGGCTGATTTGACCTGCACTTCACCTGGCTGCCCAGGCTGCTCCAGCAACAGAGCTGGGACAGAGAGAGCAGTTCAGTGAGGACACACATGTGTGTATGCTCATTCCCCTAAACATCATTATTTGGACCAAATCGTGCTTCTGATTGGATTGTAACAAAAAGAGAAAGGGTATTTGATTTTTTCCCATTTGTTTATGCTTATTTGTGTTCTTATTCCTAACTGGCATGCATATCTAAGGAATACGTTAAAGTGTGGTTATACAAAAGAATTAACCATGAACAAAAATCTATTTAATATCTACAACTAATGAGATTATAATAATCTCAACACTTGAAATGATCTTAATTACCTATTATTTACATCTGCATCGTCAGTGAGATAAACCTACTCTTTTTTAGGATGGGTTCAAATTTAAGGTTATATTAGCTTCTGAACTAACAAATGCCCTTGATTTGAGAACAGAATGACCAGCAAGTGACCTTTCTATGGCCAAGGTATAGAGGAAGAACTCTATTTGCAGCAGCGACTCTCAAAAGAAATTGCACAGGCATAAATGCTCTGCCAAAAATGTTTGTTAATCATTTACTAATTTTTACATATGTATTAATAATAATGAAGGCAGTTCTTTAAACCAACATGTTTTGAAGCATTTTCGGCTCATCTCATTTGATTATTTCAATACCTAGGTTTATGTATGAACCTGATTATCAGACAGATAATCAAAACAGTAAACTCAAAAGGGTTGTAAAAAACTTATGATTAAGTATCTCCCTGAAGGTTTTAGTCCATTGTCCTGGCCCCTTACATATTTCTAGAATATGGCCTCTCAGCATCATTTTGCTGTGTGTGTGAGTTTGTATATGTGTGCGGTAGGGACAGGGGATACCCTACACACTGGATTGTTTCCAGAGATTTTAATATCATATACAAATTACAGGATTGAAAACTAATCTCATATTGGGGAAAAAATAAGCATACAATACATTTCAAAGTCAGGTTCACTATTTTTGCTCATTAATGAAGCCATCCTCCTTTATTGTTTTAAATTATAAATTTTTGTTATATTTTGTGGGTAAAAGTAATCAAAAGCCTCAGACCTCAAAGAAATTAGAAAAGATATAAAGAAATCAGACCATAATAGATGTTTCTGGCAAGAAGAAATCAGAGGACATTAACAGTGGTCTGATCTGCAAAATATGGACGATAGATAAATAGGCAATGTACCACATATAATTACTTAAGAAGAGACTTTATGTGTAAAAACTTTGGTCTCTAGACTACAACTGACCTAGATTCAAATCATTGCTCTGTTACCTACCAACTATACAACTTTGGGCAAGTTATTTAATCTCTGTTTGATAACCCATAAAATAAGGATAATTATACAATCTACCTGAAATGATTAGTTGTTCGGGGGATTAATTAAGATAACGTTTATAAAATCTTTAAACAGTACTTTGTACATAAGTACTATTTAATTCATGTTGACAATATGATTTTTAGAACACTTAAACCCACATTATAAGATTTATGTGAATTTCAACACATTTGTAATTACTGATAACAATATTCATTTATTACATTTGTACAGCAAGAAATTTGTATATTCATTTGATTTTCCCCACAACCCTGGGGGAGGCTGGGGTAAGTATTGCTGTTGCTCAGTTTGCAGATAAAGAAATGGAAATCTACCCAGAGAAATGATTTGCCCAGGATCACTCAAGTCTCACCTCAAGTTTAAAAGCTCAGCACTCTGCTTCCAGGTTCAGGGTTCATTCTTACCTGCCATCGCTTTCAACTATATTTAATAAATAAACCAGGCTTTCCAAGTATTGTCGACCTGCCACATATTTGTATTATTGTGTATTTGTATTATTTTCACTTTACAAGATTTATTTATGGTTAAAACTTTGGTAGAAATGGTATGGCTAAAGGACTTACAATCTTAAGTTTTGTTTTGCATTTCCCTCTTAAGCAAATTAAACATTGCTTTCTGCCGCTACCATCTCATGTACACTGATTAGTGGCTTAGAATTAGGGCTAAGATAACTTTAAGCCAGATAATCATGACTTTTTATTGGTGCCCTACAGAGAGATGCATTTCTGAAAGGGGTTTTCTCCACCCTGGTGGAGACCCTGATGCCGTTGAACTTCTCAGCCACCTTCCATGAAGTGATACCACAGGGAGGAGATTATACAGCCCTTCTTCTTACTACCAACCCAGGGTGGGACAACTACCACCCAGTGGGATGGCAAGAAAGAGAAGGACTCAGGTGACAGAATTGACCCTGTGTTCTCAAGGCAACTGGAACTCCTTTCATTTTCGGAGACGGTGATTGCTTAAAGCTTTCTCAGGTCATCATTAGGAGAACAGCCATCACTGATTGGCTTACATTCATCAGGAATAACATCATCAGAAATACAATTTGAGACATAAATAAATACTGCAAAACATAATGAAATTTTCTAGTTGATGGCAAAATCTTGCTAACCTAAAGCTTTTTTTAAAAAAAAATGAATATTCTATTTTATTTCATTCCTTTCCCTGGCTCTGTCTTCCAAGTTAACTTTAAAAAGAGTTTGGGAATTTTTCTCAGAGAACCTGAAACAATTTTGACCTGACATGACTGTTATTTTCTTAATATTAACTTTTTGCAAAGGTATTGGCTATGGACTGGAAGTGACATTTTGAAAATGTCTCTCTTTACAATGCCACATTTTTACTAGGATTTCTGTGTTGTTCAACTCCAAGGAATCTCAGGTGCTTCTTTTCTGTGTCATCACTACAGCTCAAAAAGACAGGAGCAAGATATTTATAATCACAGACATTAGTTAATTTTATTTTCATATTATTATATACCCATTCTAGTGAATGTTTAACCAAAATGTATTCAAAGAAAGTAGTCGCAAAGAGCAAGATGCTCAATTTACATAGTGTCTTATTCCCAACAGATTTTCATGTTCATGTATTGGTTACAGCATTGAGCCAGGCATTAAAATGTCCCTAAGTCTCAAGTCTGCTATTTATACAACATTATTCTTCCTTAACTCAACTTTTACCACCTGCTAATTAGTCACATGGAAATATTTGTATTAATATATTGGTTATCATTTTTATATCTATTATTTTAAGACCATATTCACTATGTGAGTTTTGAAGAAAATATT